ATATTAGTATTTTATGTGTTACATGTGCATCTCGTATGTTCACTCAGTGACTATCCTTGCTGTTTAACTATCCTCGCTGTTACACTATATGCTTCTGTTCACTCCATGCATTAAAATTATTAAAGATACAATTGCCCTCATAAATTTTTTTTACATCCTTTCAATTATATTTTTGTAATTATTTGTAAACAAATATTTTTATCTAAAAAAAATTATGTAATGCATGACATTTTTAATACATCAAACCAAATATTGCATAAAAGAATCTCATCATAACTAATTCAAACATTATTACTACACTTTGTTTTACATTATTCTTATACACTCTACCAAAAGACTTGTTGAATTTTCCTCTAATTGATACATATATATTCACTTGTTTGATATTTCTGCAAGATTTAAAAAGTAAATAAAAGAAGGAAAAGAAGGAAAAGAAGGAAAACGAAAAAGATGTCTGACAACAAAAATAAATTATTGCGAAAAACTAATTAAATCATGAACTATTTCGACAAGAATAAATACATAAATAAAGAATTGGTGGATACAATTTTTAAAAAAAAAATTAAGGTCAGTGGGTATAAGTTTTATTGACTATTTTATTAATTTATCAAAACAAAAGAAAATAGAAGGTCTGTACATCAAGCTAAATTAAATTTAAAAGAAAAAAAAAAGCTAAACAAAGTTAGAAATGTTCCCAAATTGAAATTGGAAAATTCAGAGTTACTTCTTCATTTTGCTAGCCAGCTTTTCAAGCTTCAATGCATCCATCCATTTTCCTCCATTCAATTAAGGTATAATTTATGTATTCTCCTTCCTGCTTCTTGATTTTCCTTGTTTTCCTATTCATCTTCCCATTCTCACCTTGTTAGGACAAAAAATAATAAAGTGTAATGCGAAAGCTAGCAAAACAAATCTCGAAAGTTTATAAGAAAGAAAACAAATGAGAAATATATCAAAAGACACAAAGATTTAACGTGATTCAATCAATTGACCTATATCCACAAAGGAGAGGAGTAATCCACTATATAAATATGAGAGTACAAAACATAGACAGAAACAACCTCAACTAATTTACTCAGGATACATGAGAGGTTCACACAAGTGATAACGTATCAAGATTGTGACCCACAAATTCTCTCCCTAACCAAAACTCTCAAAGCCCTTAAGATTACATTGTGAATGCTCATTAAGTTAGACGGAACATGCCTCTATTTATAGAAAACCTAAATCTTTTCCTACAAGAAAAATGATTAGTCAATCCAAAATTCTTTCCTAAAAAGAAAAACCTAGTTATGATAAGAAATTTAGGACAAATAACTCCTATTTATCTCATTGATTTGTGTCCACATTTTGCTCATATGCTTGTTATTCTTGAATTTGTTGCACCTAATCGAATTGTATTATTCTTGAACGATCACGTTTTTCTGACTTCTATTTGGGAACTACTCATATACTTCATTACTTAGCTTTAAAAAGGAGATAATTAAATACTAAACTTTAATTATGTTAAAACTTCAAATAAATGTTTTGTCTTTTATAATGAAAAAAAAAGCTAAAAAATAAATATGATTCCAGTCCTCAGAGGTGTGCCACATCAATTAGTCTAACATCCTCCATATATATAATAGGAAATTTTTTCGCACTTTACACAATGGCTAAAAATTTTTGGAATTATTTTTATAAAATTCACCTCCCGTGATTTACAATATTAAATCTATCTTTCTTATTTTGACTTTTTCAAAATCAGTTTTTAAATATATTTAAAATAAATATAAATTAATTATAATTTGATAACTTTGTTCTTTTTTCTTCATATGAAATTATTAATCCACACTATTTTTAAAAATGACTTATATAATGATAAAATCAATCGATGCTACGTGTGAATCTTTGTTTGGTAAAAAAGAACACATTTAATATTTATAATATATATATAGTATAAATTTATTAAATAAGTCATATTTCTAATAATATGCATTATATGAAGAAACTAACACAAAAAAAAAAATTGTTAAATTATAATTGATTTATATTTATTTTAAATAATGTCAAAAAATGGCTAAAAAAATTAAAATAAGAAATATATGCGTAATATCATAAACTACAGAAAAAGTAAATATTATAGAGAGTAACCAATGAAATTATCCTATTTATTCTTAGAAAGTGAATTTTCGATCTCTATCAATATCGTCTTCTTTTTTCTCCGGTTATAACATCATTAATTGTTCTACTTATATTATATCATCAAGATAAATACAACATGAATTATTTTTTTTGATAAACTTAACAATTAATATTGAATAAAAGAAAGAATTTGTTCTTAAAATGATGTCATAGTATATATATATATATATATATATATATATATATATATATATATCCGAGTTCAGAGCTTAAAGGGTAAAAATTTTGATAAAAGTTTTGAAAGGGCATATTAAATTTTTTAAAACCAAATGGGTAAAATTGCTATCGACGTAGCGATTTTTTGTCACTCCATTACTTCCGTTAAAGTTCAAAATCGCTGACCCACGAGCGATTCTCTCCAAAATATTTTTTGATTATTTTAAAGAATATTGCTGCCGGTGCAACAATTTTGATCGATTTTTTTTTATTATTTTAAAGAATATTCCTATTAAAAAGTAAAATCGTTGGCTGCGCAACGATTTTGGCCAAGAAAAATATTTTAAAATTAAATTCAGTCTGAAAATTTTAGAACAAAATAAAAAAGATTTTGGCTAACAAAAATTAATTTTATAAAGTCGGCGGAAATTTACATGTTACTAATTGGCTAAGTAGTTTGGTGCACTTACTAATTAACTCTACTAAAATCGCTGTCAAGAGCAGCGATTTCTTTTTTTAAAAAAAAAAAAAGTTTCCACAAAACTTATATAACGCTGTAACAGCAGCGATTTAAAAAAAAACATTAAGGAAAATCATTATTAAGGCAATAATTTCCAAAAAAAGTAATTACTTTTTGACAAAAACGCTGCAGGGGTAGCGATTTTTCAGGAAAAAAAAGTTGGACAACATCAGCCTTTTTGATCTGTCAAAGGTGTCAAAACAAAATCGCTACCTTAGTAGAGATTTTGCCCTTTTGGTTAGAAAAAATTTTAATGTGCCCTTTTAAATTTTTTGTCAATTTTCTTTGCCCTTTAGGCTCCAGACTCACATATATCCTTTAATTAGTTTCATTTATATTGTACATAGCAAATATTTTGTAGTAAATTATGATACACAAGCATTTATTAACAATTGACCATTTTAATTTCTTCTGAGAGCAATTTACAAAAATAATTATATTTATAGGGTTAATAAATATCAATAGCTATAAGTATGTTATTTACAATAAATGACTATAATTTATACTACTTTTTAGTTGTATTTTTGTATAGTTTTTTATTTTTTTTATTTATACATTAATACATCTTTAAGTATAACAAATATAAAAAAGAGTTGACTCTAAATATAACCTACTGTCCTTACATTAAGTCCATACAATCAACTTCCCATAATTAACTTTATAACTAAAAATTACTTATTTAAAGATGATCAGATCATATTCTTTATCAGTTTAACAAAAATTGTGATATATCATACTCAATTTTCTTGTTGTCTCCATATTTCTTATTTTGTCGTCGTGAAGGTATTTATATATATATTTTTTTGTTAATTCAAGTTATTATTGTAAGCAAATTGTTGAATTTGTGAATGAAGGTTAAGTATTTCATTTTGAATAGGTGAACTACATGACAATAGATACACTAGTTGATAAATAAAAAATGAATACAATGATGTAGAATATAATGAATACATTATTGTTAAACACAAAAATGAATACCTTGGATACAACTATACTTGTATTCCCAAATTAATTTTTTATCTTGGATATATATATATATATATATATATATATATTATTGTCTTCATAAATTAACATTTTAACTTGTGCTTATATAATACTAGAAATATATACATAATTGTCTTCATAAATCAACATTTTAACTTGTGCTTATATAATACTAGAAGTTCCTATGTATATAAATATGGATACATTTCAACACTGTTGTTAAGCAAAAATATGAATACATTAAACAAACGAACAAAAAAGATATAATTTGTGGGCATCAAACTATACGAGTATAGATACATTAGACAAACGAGCAAAAAAATACAATTTGTGGGTATCAAAGGTGTTTCTTCGATCTGTACCTACATTGTATTGTGACAACATGAGTGCTTTGTATATGACAGTTAATCCGGTTATGCATATTAGAACTAAACATGTTGAAATGGACTATCATTTTATTCGTGATAAGGTTGCCAGAGGATAATTTATTACTTAGTTTGTGAGGTCTAAGGATCAGCTAGCAGATATTTCATACAAAAGAATTAACCAAATAGGTTTTTGCTGAGTTTCATTGCAAGCTAAGAGTTACAGTCCCTCCACTCACTTGCTTGAGGGGAAGTGTTGAAGAAAGCTGATGAAACATGTCAAAGAAACAGGTTCCATAAAGTTGTCTGACGAGTTAGAGTTCGAGTTACACTAGGACTAGACTACTAAATCTTAATTTATGTACAACTCTATATTTTGTACGACTAAAGCTGATGTAGTCGACTAGGATAAGATGTAAATCATATATTTATGTTATATTAAGATTTCGAGTGTAGCTAGTAAATGACTCTTTTCCTATATAATTAGTATGTAACTCAATGATTCAATTATCAATTGATTCTTCATATATCTGTAAGAATTCTACGATCAATACAACGCCTTAGGATATTTCGATATTTTCTTTATAAACTATGATTTGCTCATTTAGTAAAATCATAAAAGAATTAATTTGATGATTTTTCACAACTTGTTGAATTTTCAATTATACTATGAGAAAGAATAAATAAAATTCAAATTTTGCATAAAACTTATTTCAACTTGTAACTTTATGACTCCCCTAATAAAAGAAAATACAAACAAAACCATTAGCAATAAAATTAAAATGATATCAAAGATTTGCATTGTGTATAAATGTGAGAGCTTTGATGTCATCGTTACACTCAAATAGCTTCATATAGTTTTCCTTCAAGTCCACTTGCACACAAACTTGAGAATGAATATCTGTATCATACAACCAAAACATTTGCATATCTTTGCTACCAAAAAAGAGTAATTTTGGTTTTTCCAAACCAAAATCAATATCATGGAAAGGGAAGTTGCACAAACTTGAACATGAAACTTTGTCAACTTCATCATTACCTCCCCATTCTGGTGATGCAACACTTCCATTATTTATATTAACCAATGTTGATACTATTTCATCTGGTGACGCTTTGGTACACGAAGCAACAACTTTATTCACACCATTCCTTATTAATATTATAAACTTGTGTAATTCCATCTTTGTCTCTCCTGGTATAAATTTTATCGGAACATCAACTCTAAAATTCCCCATAGAATTGCTAACTTGTGTTAAAGATGTTTTAGAACGCAAATTCAATGGCAAGTCCATTAGCGAAGGCCTAACGTACCCGTTTATAATTGTTGAAGTACGGATGAAAGCCCTCCAAAGAAGTGCTGTAATAATTTCAACTCTTGTCGGTTGAAAAGTCAAAGCTCCACGCGCTTCATCAATGCATTTTTTTCTTAGCCTTGACATAATAGTCTCACAAATAATAAATCTCTTCGTAACAATATCTTTCTCTATTACTGGATCATAAGTTGACTTGAAAAGTCTTGATATATCTCTTGTTGGAAAAACATTACCTAAATTGAATCTTAGAAAATTAATATTCTCAACAGGAGTTTCCATTTTACACACTTTTGCCCACTCTAAAAGAAATTTAATATTTGAGAAACCATCCATCGCAGGGTGTGAACTGCTCAATGAGACCGCGAGACCACCACATTCAAACTCAGTTACTTGTGCCGTTACAATTGGTGAAACCATTAAATTACTTTTATTTATATACTTATTTTCGTGTGGCCAAAATAAAGCTGCAAGACTAAGGTCCCTGTGTGCTTTCTCTAAGAAATTATTCAACTTACAATTTACCTTGGCCTTAGTATAAGAAATACCTTGATCAAGACAAAGAATCGAACATTCATCTTTATCGTACCTTCCTGCTGCTGGATAAACATGAGTTAATACCTTCGAAAGAGATTGCTTAATTCGTTCATCGATTGTGAAGTTGTTGATGAATTTATTATTAGCATAGAAAAGAACAATGGGGACATGTTCTTTCAAAGCTATTTGGTCGAAGAATGAGAGCTTGTAATGTTGAAGGTGAGAAGGAGTAGGTAAAAATGGCTTTATGAGCTTTTTGTATAAGATTTCAATTTCCATTTTTGCTACACAAACTCAATTAAGGCTACACTTATATATATATATATATGTGTGTCTCAATTTCCTAATATTTTTTCTGTCCATTTTTATTTGTTTATGTTCCGCTTTTCAAAAATTAATTTGACTAATTTTTAAAGTTAAATTAAATTATATTAGTTTGATATTATAAACAAAAATTTAGATATGATGTAAAAATATTGTTAGTCAAAACTTTTATCTTTTTACTCTAAAAGAGAACTATGACAAACAAAAATTTATATATACAAAAATGTTATATGCGTTAGGGAATTAGCTTTGTTTTAAAAAAAAATTGAATAAGAAATTTTATGAATTTATAAATAGTGGTGAAATTCAAATATATATATATATTATATAGTATATATTACTTTAAAGATAAGTATCAAAAATACACCTAAACTATTCACTTTTTTTTGAGTTTCATATCTAAATTATCACTTTTTAGTTTGAGAAAAACACATCAGTGGTGTGTGTAATGCACTATCTCTTTTATATGAAAAACTTTGACACATGACATTTCACATAGATAAAATATTTCTAGATAAAAATTAATTAATAAAATATTAATATTAATTAAAAATTAAAGATTACTATCCAAATAAAAAATTAAATTATTTTTCTCATCTCACTCCACTACCTCCTCACATACTCCTCCCCCTCCCCCGACAATCCCATCCTTTTTTCAAAAAAAAATATTTATAAAATATTTTTTAAAATTTCATATTTCATATTACATCCTCCCCCCCCCCCAACCTCCCTCCTTATATAAATTGGTATTATTTTATTTAAAAAAAATATATCCCATCCTATTTAATTTTTCGCTCCTAATTCTTATTTTTTACGTTTTTCTTATTTTGTGTTAGATATGGACGTACATATATTTTAAGAAAAAAAATTCTACTAATGTACCGAATATAACATAAACAACTAAAAAATATAAAAAGTCTAGTGGCAGCAAGTAAAACTATTTTTGATATATATACTAAACAGTGGGAAAAAAAATGAAAGCGGAGGATTAAGTCGGATGGGTAGAATTATATTTTTAAGAAAATAAAATAATATCTAAATTAGTATTTGAGGAGGGGAAGGAAATGAAGTAAATAATGAAATACTTTTATAAAAGAATTTCAAACAAAATAAAAAACTTTAAAAAATGGTGTGGGGTAAGAAAAATATTTTACATTTTATTTTATAAAGAAAATATTTATTTTTTATAATAGTTTTTTAATTTTTAATTTAGCTAGTACTAATCATTTATTTATCTCTTGTCAAGGTTGAATATTTTGTCCATGTGGAGTATGATGTGAAAATTCTTTAAAATAAAAGAGAGAGTGTATTACACATACAAGAGTAATATAAAAAAAAGAGGTGTGTTTCTCAAACTAAAAAATGATAGTTTAGATATGACGTTCAAACTTTCAATAGTTAAGATATGAAACTCAAAAAAAAAAAATAGTTTAGATGTGTTTTGACATTTACCTTGTTACTTTACTTTACTATATTAGAAGAGTGAGTTGCTGTTGACACAGACATGATGTCAACATGCTTGCTTGAGATTTGAAGGGCAAACTTGCCCATTCAGTTAAAAATAAAATAATATGATTGATCTAAAAAAGTTTTCATCGTAGATGATTCATAAAAGTTTTGCTTTTTGACTAAATAATCCTTTCCTTGTGTTATCATATGCATCAACTCTATCTTTTTTTGTTTTCATTTTTACGCCTACTTTATTCTTTTAATATTGCAATTATTTGTATATGTTGGTAAATATTGAAAAGCTACATTAACTTCTAAAAATAACATATTCTTTTTTGTTTTTTCCTTTTATCCTTTTTTATATTTTTATGTTCGATTCCCAATTTAAAATGACATGAAAATTTTGAACAATTGTGATTTACAATATTTTGCTCCAAACAATTGTGACGTAAATAGTTGTAATTATAAATTTATATCACTTCATCGAGTTTTGCATTACTAATTTTATAAACGACTTTCACTGTTGTTTTGTCAGATAAAATAATCAAGCGGATCTATTTTGATAATTGTTTTAAAAATAAATAAATTATGAAATGTTTAATACACTTCATATTTTTGATAAAAATATATTCAAATATAAATTATATTAGAAATATTACTCGTAAAAATAATTAATATTCAATTTTGTCTTCCAATAAGACTTCCTTGATATTCCTTTTGCTTTAAAAAAAATATGTGAATCTATCTCCAAAAAGTAACATTTGTTATTTTAAAAAATGACGTGAAATTATAATATAAATTACAATAATTAACAATTTCAAATATTTAAAAATACATAATAAATTTGACTCAACTCTCAAAATTCTATTAAGGCTACATATACTAGGACAAAAGAAGTGACATATACATTATTTAAAAATTATGAAAAAGTACTATAAATTGCAATAATCAATATTTTAAATAGATAAAAATTATATTAAAATTTATCAACTCACTATATTTATCGATATCACACAACCTAAAATAATAAATATATATTAGGCTCGTGCTAGCACGAACTCTAATATCTAATATACCTTAGATCTCCTAGTTATAAATACAATATTTTAGTGTGCACGTGATTAAATAGGTATGCAGCACCACACCAACCAATTACATTAATGACTATCTTTACATCGTCACCGCACATTCTTCCCCTAACTAGACCGGAACCGGTTCACCGAACCGGAATGAACCGGTATCGGATTGGATCGGAATTCGTTGACCGATATGTTGACTGGTATTGGAATGAATTGGATCGAAATTATTGGGATGATTCATCGGTTCCGTTCCGTTCCACTATATACTGTGATGGAATCAGAATGAACCGGAACGGACCGGGATGGAACGGAACGAGATAAACGGGACGATATTTTTTGGAATTATGAAAATATAATTTTTTTAATTTATTTTTTTAGTATAAATTAATAGTTTTTAAATTTATACTACAATTTTTTACTTAAGTTTATTTTAGAGATATTTTATTAATTTTTTTGTTGTTGTTAAGTTTGCAAGTAAAGTCTAATAAAGTTTTCAAAATTTAAATCTTTTGAAGTTTATAATTTATAAGTTATTACCTATATTCATTAATATTTATTTTATAAGTTATATTTATAACTTGTATCTTGTAAATATTAAATAAATAAAATTTGTAATTTTAAAAAAATTAAATTAATATAAGGATAAAACAATTACAAAAATTAAAAAATATCAATTTAATTTATTGAAATTTGTAACAAAATACAATTTCAATTTACAACTATCAGTAGAGTACATAACTTACGCAGCCACCCTCTAGGGGTGGGCAGTCGCGCAGGACAACTGCCTCGTGCCAAGAAATATAAAATATAATTTATAAAATATATAAATATAAATTATATAAAATATAAAAAATTAATATATATTAAATAAATCGGACCGGAACGAACGGGGATGAACCGATACACCGGTACGAAATCACGATTCCGTCCCATTTCGTGTACCAGTTCAAACTATCCCGTCCCGTCCCGTAGGCAATCGAAACGGAACGAACCGAAACGGTACCGGTACGTCCCATTCCGTTGACCAGTCTTACCCCTAACTGGAGAGTACTGGTCATCTTGGTTCTCTTCTTTTTATCTTAAAACTAGTAAAATTGTTCGTGCTTTGTGTGAAAATTTTATATCAGAGAACTTATAAAATAATAGTTTATATATATGAGTTATTAATATTAAAATATTATATTATCTCACATAAAATATTACATGGTAATAAACATTAATAATGTAAAGAAAAATAAAATTTATTATATTTTTCATTTATACTCACATAAGCATAATTTAATGAATAAATAAATTATACCAAATTCTATAATATAAGCAATCGTTAGTAAGCCACTCAACAGCAACAAAGTACATAAATATTTAATTGTGAACAAGAAGAAGAGGTTTAGAATTTTTGTTGTTTTAAAATGAGAGAAAATCCCCCTATTTATTGACAACAAAGTGTAGTGTGCACACATGTTTATTGTGTCTTATCAGAAAGGTTATAAATATTTGAAAAAGTTACAACATTCGGAAAGGTCACAACCTTTCATAAAAATCACATCTTTTCATGAAAGTTGCTACTCTCCATAAAAGTCGCAACTTTTCATTAAAGTTATAACTTTTCATCAAAGTCACAATCTTCATAAAAGTCGTAGCTCTTCATAAAAGTCATAAATTTTCATAAAAATCACAACCCTTCGTTGAAGTCACAATTTTTCATAAAAATCACAACTTTTCATGAAAGGGGAAGACTAGTTTTATAAATAAATAAATTTAAAAAGTAATTCTGATTTTTGGTGTTGCCATATAAGCGGGTCTAAGATTTTCTTTTATATATATAAATGATTACTCCCTTCGTTTTAAATTAATTAAATTATTGTGACATTTTTTATTTTTTAAATTAACTTAATTGTTTAATTTTAAGAAATTATTTTTAGAATATTCTTTTAATTTTATCCTTCATTAATAAGTATTGAAATTAGTTATTAATTAATATTTAGTTACTATGTCTAGTTTATGTTTTAATTTTTTTTAAAAAAAAAATTGAAGCATTTTTACAGTTCAATAATTTGGAATGAAGAAAAGTAATTTTAATAAGTATGCATAAATGAAACTATTAATATCACTAACTAGCTACCTTCGTTTTTCCAAGTGTACGTAATTTCTTGGTCCTACAGTAACAGTACCTCTACTCGTCTCCTTTTGCGTGTATAAACAAATAAAGATTTTCAAAATTTATACTCTAATTAAAATTAAATAAGTTATAAATGCACTGTGATCAAATGTAAACTTTAAAATCAAATCATTTGGGAATATTCAAAAGAAAAAGTCTCTTTTTTTTTTTTAGAGTTTTTGACTAAAATAATTCTTAATCTATACCAAAAAATTAAAATTTACATCCTTAAAATATCATTTTAGCAGAAAACATCTTCAAGTATTTAA